AGAAGATGGTGACTCTTCTGCTGCCTGGAGGCACTCTGGCTGCCTGTACATTCTCCTGAGAATAATTAGCGCATTTCTGTGACCACAGTTATAGAACCTAATTCGTGAGAATCTTACTCTCAGCAGCCTGTCTGGCTTGTTTCTCTTAGCTCAGACTGAACAAGGAAGGCAGCCTTTGACATTGTGTATTTTCAATTGCAGCAGACAACGGTTTCATGAAAGTACTTTTCTAGTCACACTTTCCCCTTTCCTCTGTTCAACTGTAAGAAAGGAAGAAGCTTCCACAAACATAGCCTATCAGTTGTTAAAAGAACTCTTTTCCCTGATCAAATAATGCACTAATATGCTCACGGAATTGCAAGGCCTTTGCCTTTTCTAACCAATCTGTTTTAGATCACAAAGAATAACCGTGTTGTTGTTACAACCATCCTAGTCTGCGCTGAAGTGTTGCTTTGAAGTACTTTGCTTGTTTGGGATGACTATACATCTGGACAGTTTCTTTTCTTTTTCTTCCTAAAGTTCAAAACATATTTTTGCCAAATTATGTATTTCCTTTCTTGCTGTGGAACTACTCCTCAAATTGCTGACAAGAAAATATCCCCGCCATGCCACCCTTTCCTATCCAGTCCAGTGTTCCATATGCTTCCTTATTTATGGAAATACAGGAAAATCGGTTATTACAAACCGATGGAGGTCTTGCTGAAGATCACAGCCTGTGCAGATTAGATTTGGGTTTCTGATTACTGATTATTTTTACAATACTCAGGAATGCAAATTATCACAGCTTCTACAAAGTAGGTAACACAGATATTTCTTATTCAAAGTGTGTTTCTAGATACTACTAAACTCATTATTAAAGCATTATTTAATTTTAGGGAGAAGGTCAATATTCCTGGAAAAATCTGTCAATGTCCATTAGACTAGCAGTGACACTTCATGCATGTATCATTTCAAGAGAAGATCAGTGCTTAATTCCTCATTAACACTGAATGACATACCAAAATACAGGTTAACATTTATTCACAGCAAGCTATGATGAAACAAAGCCAGAGGATTCAGAGGTCGTGAGCTCTTGTTCTTGAAGGCTCCGAAACCATTTACCTGTAGATTCTGGAAAAATATTGCTCCTAAGAACTCTTCACATCAGGTCAGCCTTTTGGTAGGCTGTAAAGGTTAGGTAGTCAGGGATTAAAATATAGCTGATGCAATAAAGCAGGTAAGGATGATACTTACGTTTAACTATAATTCTGTTAACTGTTGCAGTGTTGTAAATCATTATTTTTAAATAAATATATTTATTTATCTTTTAGTCTTGTCTAATGATAACATTGATGCTCTAGTCTGATATTTACCAGGCCACAGCATTCTCTTGGGCACCGAGAATCTGTTCACCACAAGAAATCTTGCAGATTTTTAGGGTATTTATCATGGAATAGAACTATAACTTCCCACTGTTTCTGGTTAATTCACCATTAAGGCCAGGAACCCAGTTGCAGCTGGATGATGGAGTAGAGACATCTTTTTCTGTGAATGCCAGCTTAAGCCGCTGACAAATAACCAGACAGTGGACACAAAGTGTGGAGATTCTGGTGTGTATTTTAAAGATGAAAAATGTTCCTGTAACGGTGTCTTATTCTGAAAAGCAAGTTATTTCATGATGTTAAAATGGCAAATGTGCATCACTGATGGACACAGTTGGAGAAATAATAAGAATTAAATTTATTATTTCAGATTTATTTATTTTAATGTTTGTCTTTGAATTTTAACTTCAAAGGAACCCAAAACTGCAACTGGAAATTCAGTCAAGGCTGCAAAGTCCTGCCTTGTTTCAGGTCAAAAGCTTAGAGAAGTTTTGGATTCTCTGGCCAAAGCAAAATCAATTTACTGACAGTCTCCACACACACTTCAGTAAAACCAAATTATCTTGTTCTTTTAAGTTCAGCAAAATTCACACTCATTAAAATCATCATCTATAGTTACAATCCCCACTAATGCAGTCTTGACTCCAACCTCTTTAAGAACTGCTGTTATATCTACTGCACAAATATACACTGAGAAAAGAAAAATTATTGAAATATGTAGAGTAATACTATTTGTTTTGTAAAATAATCTTGTATGTAAGTAAAGTGGTACTGAATGAGCGCTATCTATACTTAAACACTTGCCTGTCCTATTGAATCATGACATCTGCTAAATTCCATACAACCCACAATGCTCTTTAAAAATGTTTTCAGTTATTCATATACCACATATCTGATCATTCCAACTTCTCTCACTCCTCAGCATCTCTTCTGTTCCGCTACCACCACAAACATCAGAACTCAAAAGCAGAAGGCAGCACACCAAGTGTCTGAGTACACATAGACGCTGCACAAGTAGGAGAGGACAGATAGGGCAGATACCTTTGTAGCAGAGCTGAGACCCCAAACCTCAGGAAAGTGTAATTACAACCTTTGGCAAGCTTCAACAAAACCCCTCATTATTTGCAGCTATACCTAATACTGGAACGTATTCATGTAAATACTGATAGCTATTGGCTGCTCAATAAAGGCAAAGTTCAGGTGGTCTCAGTTTATAGCTTTGTTTTTCACCCTTTTTTTTTGCCATTAAACTCTATCCTCTAGAAAGGCTTAAGACTTCCCATATTCTGACAGGATTATCTATCAAGTGAGTAACTTTCTGCTCGCCCTTGTTTTGTAAGAAAGATTTCCAAAAGTATAGAAACATACATGATTGAAACTAAAGTTATGTTCTTCAAACACAGAAATGAAACAAAAGCTCAGCTGTCTGAGTTAGAAACTCTTCCTGAATTAAAAAAAGTAAAGGCTCTTGAACAGTGTGTCTACAAATGACCTGGACATCTGTAATCCCACACACTTTATCCATTCCATAGCTAAAGACAGGACAATATACTCCAAATCCCCCTTCTGATACTGCAGCTCAGCAGTGCCTTTTGCTTGCTTTATTGCATTATTTTATCCATAAAGGCAGGTGAAAATCCTATTAACAGAAATGTTCACAGCTCCTTAGATTATTATTTCTTTCCTTTGTAACAAATGTGATTTCAGAAAAGTGATGCCATCCATTTGTCCTTGCTATTTCACAAAAAGAAAGCTAAACTATGTTAGGTTATGCCTTAAAAGCTCATCTGCTCACCCACAGAGGAGCACAGACAGGAGCCCAGATAATACCCAGCCAGGCAATCCAGAGTTCCAGTGTTCCTGGAAGCACCCAGATGCCTCCAAGCATCAGAAGCTCTGGAGGCTGGGATCCAGGGCCAGCCACTGGGTTGACTGAATGCTGAGCTGGGTAGCCGGAAGGATCCACTGTGTGTTGCTATGGATGCTCAATTCACCATCCTCACTAGTGCACATGTATCCTGCTCTGCCACAAAGGTGAGCAGGATGAGGCCACTGGTGCTGTGCTCACATTCATACTCTATGATCTGTATGCCAGTCATGTACATGCCCACATAGAATACATTTACAGCCTTGCTAGTGCTTGGACCTGGGAGGAAGGCAGATGCAGCATGCTCACCTCTGCAGCATCCTCACCTCTGGCAGGCTGCTGGATTCAATGTGATACAGTTTCCCCTAAAAAATAATATGTCTTTCCAGAGGCTCACTAGCTAAAATGTACTTAAGTGAGCTTCCATCCCTGCATTCCTGCAGTTAAACATCTTAACATGCATAGGAATCATCTTTTCCAACTGGCTGCAACAGATCAGCCAAAGCTTTAAAATATTATACTATATGCATTATATTCATATATATATTCATATTATACATAAGATTTTTTTGTTTGTTTCACTGAATTACTCCCTCACTGTAAATTCTGTTTCCTTTCCCAAGATGAGGCACAACCACAGCATCACTATTCACATTCACACTTGGTGGAAAAAGGGCTGCTCATGAAATTCCTCCTCCAAGCATTGGTACATAAATCTATATTTTTAATAAACATTCATTTGTCTTTTAACTCCTTCAGTTTTACCAGTTCAGTAGCCAGACCATAGATAACTTTGCTATTCGATACATATATATATTCATAGTTACTATATAGAATATATTCCCTCTTAGTTTTTTGTTGAAATGCAGACAACTGTGAATAGGCAACATTTTCTCAGTAGTTTGGGTTGGGTTTTTTTTGCTAAAAAATAATTAATTCTGCAATTATCTTTGTAAAATTTTACAAAGCCATAGTTAAGTTAAACAGTAAAGTAACAAAAATCTGTATTTCTGTAAATCCTGGATTCAGTTTTAACTTTTCATCTGTTCAGAAGCATGTCTATTCTCTCCTCAATATTTAGGGGTTGTTTGCTAAGGAAAAGAAAGGACACAACTAAGGACTGGATATGTTTTCTGTATCTTCTACTTGTTTCAGAATAGACTTCATAGTTGGAAATCCCACTTCTAGCATACAAGAGAAGGAATGGAAGACATGCCACTGACTCAGCATACATTGTTAAGAACCTATAAAAAGAGCAACTGTACCATTCTCCTTTCTGTGCTTTAATAGTGTAGGGCATGTGAAGCTCATAGGAAATATTCTTGAGAAATTCATATTGACAGAGTAAATAATGTGATTTCAGAATGGCCCAAAATCAGTATATGAACATTCTCTGGGGTGAGCAACCTGAATCAGTGTCTCTCTAGCAGGGGTCATGAGCTCTCCTCAGCACCTTAGTGGAGATTCACTGTGTCCATTTGAAAATCTAGTGTGCAGTTACTAAGAATGCGTTTCTAAGAGAGAATGTGCAAGTAAGACAGCTGTACTGCTCTGGTCCCTTGCAATGGTGGAGCACAGCACTACATAAATACATCCCCATGTAGATACGGTGGAGTATGAATAAACCAACACCTCCTTTCAGAGAAGGTTTTAGGATAGATATAGACATAGATATAAAACCAGAGGAAGACTTTGACTTTTCATGTTAACCAGAAGACACCAGTGTCTTTCCTACTCCACTGTAATTTCAGCGCCCCCCCAGGATGGCTTACAGTTATGACAAGTGGCACCACTGTATCCAGTTCCATCGCAAGTGCACTTGAAGCTGTCCCACGTCTGGGTGCATTTGCCACCATGTTCACAGTGATTGGGCACACACCTGTCAGGACAAGATGCAAAGACAGAAAGAAAAAAACTAAATGAGCATCAAGATTTACACACAGGTACATTGTGAGCTACCTGAGCAGTGTATCATGTCCTTGCCTTGCAGTTAATTCTCGTTATTTCAGGCAGATTAACAGAATTTATACCTCAACACGCAACTGCACAAAAGGTGCTTCATCCAGGCCTTGTTGCAGCCCTTTTACAAACAGTAAAAAAAGCACAATCAAGGTGGAACACATTCACCCACCAAAAATTAGGGTTCTAAAGTACGTTTGACAGGTATTTAGCTGTCAACACAAAATGAACAAAATGCTGTGCAGGTGGTGTCATGCCTCAAGGACTGCAGTCCCACAAGTGACTCAAAGTTAAAGCAAGAATGCGAGTGAGTTGCTGTTCATCTCCTTGTTGCCAGCAATGGGAAAAAGTGGAAGCAGACTGCCTGCTGGCTAGGATGGAAATTATTAATGCTGTATTATTAAAACAACTGGTTTCAGTATAGAAACTGTGCATGTTTCTTCTTCACAGGGATTTGCAGCAATGGTTGCTCACCTTTGTGCCACCACCTGCTTTGCTGTTGCTGGAGAGTGTAAGGAATGCAAACCCCAAAGTCATAGCAGAATATATTGTTTGAAATATTATCTAAATGTGATTTCAAAGATCTGAGTTTGTCCTGTTTCTTTCCTATCAAAGATAGGTGAAAATAGAAATTGCCATGTTCTCTCACCTTTGAAACTATTAAATTTCTTTTCTTTGACAGGGCTTTGAAATAATAATTTCAAAGTATCTTTTTTTTTTTTTCCTATTGAATTCATTACAGTCAGACTCAGTACAGGCTCTGCATTTCTGATCAAGAACTAAAAGAGTTTTTCTTTCATGTTAAGTCGGCCCAATCTAATTTAGGAACTATACTTTTTTATTATGATATTAAAAATTAAATTTAGGAGACCCCTTATTAGACAAATAAAAATATTTTCATAAACACATTATAAATTAAGTATCCTCATCTCCATGATAAATCTGAAGTTCATCATATTCCTGAAGTAGTTAAAAAAACTCTATTAAGTAACACCTAAGGACAGCTTTCCTCTGTAACAGGCTACTGAAACTGAAAGTATCTCGGTGCACCCCCTATTAGACTTGTATATCCTCATGTTCCAGCTGACAGCATTGGCATACATGACTCAGCTACCAAGAATAACATATGACATGAAATGTATTAAAGATGAAAAACAAGAGCAATAGAATGGCACATTTCTAAACATTCAAAGGATTAACAATTGATAAGATGAATCCACAGCTGGTGAGTACAAGGGTAGGGAAAGCAGAGAGCAGTCACACTTCAAAACTAATCTTATAAAAGTAACTTTTATTCAAGGCTATAAACATCTACAGAAGTTCCTAAATCTGAATATAGTTCGTACTTTTTTCCAGCCTTTAAAAATTACTGCTTGTCACGTATTTTCTTCTTCATTTACATTTGAACATACATTACTTTAAAAGTATTTTTCCCATGACCAAACTAACCATTTTCTATGTGCATTTCACCAGCTATTTATATGAAGTTTCACTTATAATGCTAGCAACTACTTTTGCATTTTACTGCAGTATAACTTATTTTTATTGTAACATAACTAGTAAAGATACTCCATTATTGACTATATAACTGGGGTAAACAATTTAATCTAGGGACATATGAAAAACAGATATCTATCTGTATCATTTAATGAAGCATATTAAGTCATAAAGCCAGAGATACTTGGCAAACTCCTTGATGTTAATTTTATACTTCTAGTACGACGGCTGGACCAGCCTAGTCTGCATCTGCAAATTCCCCCTTTACTCATCTTTTTTTCCCTGTTCTAAATATGATGCATTTAGAAACAGGGAGTAAAGAATACCTTAATATTAGTGCTAACTGGAGTTTAAATAAGACTACAGGATCATTTCCTTATGTGCTTCCTCCACTTTCAATTTTCTGTTAGTTTATTTTATCAGACAGATTAAGATTTATTCTCTATTAAAGCTATTAGCAAACCTCTTTTACACCATCTGCTGCTCATCTGTCCAACTTTTGCACAAACCTTACCCTCTGGAATAGAGTTTAGAGGAAATTTTAGGTAACCAGAATGCAAAAATTACAAAAAGGCCCACATTTTTAATTCAGCAGATGTATCAAGAGCAGTATTACTTCTCACTGTGAACTCCATTATCTAAAACTCTTCTTGCCATAGAGTGATAGTAAGATACAAATACTGCTTAGATAGAAGGTATCTTGCATATGTATTTCCATACACATCCTGCTAAGAAATTTGAAATTTTAAAATTCTTTAAGCATATGCAATCATATAGTTTATCTACGTTATGCTTAGCATTTAGTATATACACAAAGCATATCCACTCAAAGCCAATGCATGCTCTAATTGCAGTTCATTTGTATTATAAGACCATATGTCTAGGTAATTCCACTCAGGAATCGGGCTACATTACATCAAAAAGACTAATAATTAACTTCCAAACCACCCTTCCCTCCTGAGTCAGGCTCTGAAGTTAGAAGCTGCCATAAAACCGGAAGAGGAAGTAAGGTCCTAATGACCGAGTTGTGTCCCTTCCAGTTCAAAACACTGCTAATTTAAGTACTGCTGCTTATGAACTCTCGCTGACTCTGCGTTGAGAACTTTCTTACTCTATGACTCCTTCTGAAAGGCAAGTGTAGAACAGAACTTCATCCCTTCAAGTGCAATACACTTGCAGTTCATTTTCACCCCAAAAATGATCCATAGAGAGTTTACAGATGCTGCTTTCTTCAGGGTTTTTATGGGTTGGTTTGTTGGGTTGTTTTTCTTTTTTGTAACATTGACTATGTCTCAAACAACTTTTGTTCTTTGGCATTTACATCTGATGATTTTGCAGAGAGCAACTGAAACCTCTCCCAGCCTGTATTTTAATGAAAACAAGTATCCTGTAGGAAAACAGATTTTCTATTGTTGCTCTTCCTCATAGCTCTGCTCCCACTTGCATTTGTAATCTAATGAGTATCCTGGAGAAGGTTTTTCCAATGTTTTGTGATTTCAGAGTTGATCAATATTTCTGTATTTCTCTACTGGAATTATCTTGCTTGATAAACAGCAATTGTCTGACTAATCCAGAACAGTGGCTCAAAGCCATCTTGAGATTGCCCAATACATTAAACATCCTCAGTACAGCCCCCCATTCTTTTTCTCTTCAATCACTTCCAACCAATCAGCTCCATCTTTATACAGAAATTCTTGCTGCTACTGTCAACAGCATTACTTAGTTCTGTAACTTCATCTGAATCTTTCTGCTTATTTTTCCAGGCTGAATCTGTATCATCAGCACATTTCATCAAGATATTCCTGATTTTGAGCCAAGGTCAAAGCATTAAATAGGATCAGCTTTGTGACTGATCTCTGAGAAACTCTATCAGACAACAGTTAACCCATCACTGTAAGTTGTAAGACAACTCCATCTGCCAGTTCACAAGTCACTTTGCAATTCCTCTCTCAAACCCCATCTTTCCTAGTTTAGCTAAAAACTTCCATCATCACAGTTTATCAATTGTTTCATTGACATCCGACAAATTAGATCCATTGTGCTTCTCCCACCTGAGAAGAAACTACCATGCTTTACTGGAGAATGAGATACGTTAATTCCCAAGAATCAACTGCTGAAAAAGTCTGCTGCATTTTACTCTCTATCTACTTCTAGGTATTCGATTACGCTGTCCTCCATTTCTTCAATGGAGTAAAACTACTAAGATCAGATTAATAGGAGTCTGGTTATGTGGACTGATCTCTTTCCATTTGTTAAGTTACATCAGGTTAACTGTCACCTAATAGCACAAACCCGTGCATTTTGGTTTTGGTTTTCTGGGTTTAAGGGCTATCACGTGACATGTTAGCATTACACAAGGCTTTCTTTCCAATTCTTATCTAGTTAGTTTTGGTGTCTTTTTTGTGCCTGCTTACACTTTTATCATCCTAAGTGACTGCTATTCCTTCATTCCTCTGTTATTTGCTGATTCAGTAGCAATATTTAATATGAGAAATAGGAGCAATATTCCTCACTAACAGCTGGTATAGACATTGTTGCCTTGCTGTGATAGAAGCCAACTCCTTTCACCTCCTTTTATCTTAAATATTGTAACAGTGTCCTCTAGAATCACTCTTTTTCCAGTCCTCCACAACACAGACTAAAGAAAATGGACCACATTTCCATACCTAAATAAACCCCATGCCATTCCATTTCTTTCCTGCTGATGTTCAAGTATGCCCTCCTTATTAAAGCATATACGATACTTCTCCAAACCACCACTTGGAAAACTGTTCTCTTTTTCACTTTACCTGTACTTAGCTATTTGCAAGAAGTCTGTTTTAATGAACTGCTGGTGTTTTAAAACCACAGACTACAACTCTGATATTCCTGCAGGATGAGGGAAAACTGTGTGTTCCACCTTTTTCCTCACCGTCTGCCTAAATAGACTGTGCACAAGAAATACAAATAGTCTATTCATGCACCAGAGGGTTAACATTGCCTGAAGCTTTAGTAATTTTTCAGAGATGCTATATGCAAATATCTAGTAAATCACTAAGCTTCTCCCCACTCCTAGACCATCCAAGAGATAAAACTGGGAATACACAGATGTCGGATAACAGAGAATAGTCTCTGAGTTCCAGGGAAATCTAACAACCAGAGAAGAACAAAATACCTAGTCTAAGCCCCCCTGCCTCTGCCAGAAACATGGTTACTGCCTGTACCAAATGAATTGGGACTGACATGAGGTGTTTCTTTTGCATAAAGATACGAAGCTGGGAGAGGCTGCTCTTTTGAGGACTGTAGACTATAAGCAGAAAATATTTTGAGAAACTAGACTGAAATACTGGCATTTAATACAATTAGAGCACGTGAGAAGTCTGACACTGAGGTAGCAATGAACAGGGCATGGGGGAAGAACCTGGACAGAAAGCAATCCCACAA